GACGTAGGCCAAACGGGCCACTCTCATCGACACGTCTCCAGACGTAGGCCAAACGGGCCACTCTCATCGACACGTCTCCGGACGTAGACCAAACGGGCCACCATCATCGACACGTCTTCGGACATAGGCCAAAGGAGTCACCCTAATCGACACGTCTCCAGACGTAGGCCAAATGGGCCACACTCATCAACACGTCTCCGGACGTAGGCTAAACGGGCCACTCTCCTCGACACGTCTCCGGACGTAGGCCGAACGAGCCACTCTCCTCGACACGTCTCCGGACGTAGGCCAAACGGGCCACTCTCATTGACACTTTCAATGGGGTGTTCACAAATGCAATTGACACGTCTTCGGACGTAGGCCAAACGGGTCACACTCATCGACATGTCTCCGGACTTAGGCCAAATAAGCCACTTTCATCAACACGTCTCCGGACTCAGGCCAAACGGGCACTCTCATCGACACGTCTCCGGACGTAGGCCAAACGGGCCACTCTCATCGACACGTTCGAAAGTTCATCCAGGCACCATGTTGAACAAGCGTAATTCTCAGAGATCACAAGGACGGAAATTCTTGATTCTTTAATTTCTAATAAAAGTTGTGCAGAAATCTCTTCTCCTCTTTGAAGTTCTGAGTCACAAGTGAAAGTCTTAATTCCTTGACGCAGCAGTGATTCATATAAATGGGCTGTAAAACCCTTGCGGGTTTCTACACCCCTAAAACTCAAAAAGACATCATATTTCCATGGACGAGCTGAAGGAAGAGGTGATGAACAAGCTCTCTTCGTTGTAAATTCCATTTGGGACTAGCTTCTCGATACTGCCAACGAACCGGAGATGGTGTCCAAGCAATCTGCTGGAGAAAGTGCAACTATAAGAAGCAATTTTTATGAGTCGCTTCAATCATTTTTGTTAGTAAAATCAAATAACAATCTCTCCGACTCCTAAAATTCTAAAATTACATTAAATTTAGACTTCAACCAACCCCTAGACTCAGAAAGGGCAGATTAAAAACAAATGGTATAAATAGCTGTGAGCAAAATTAAAGAATAGAGAAAAACTCAACTCAAGCGACCAGAGAAACACAACCACCTTGCTGGGATTCTGGTATGCAGATGCTCAAGTCAATGGGCGAGGAAGCGAGGCAGGGTCATATGACAAATAGAAACATCCTTTGATCTAGCGGACAAAACAAAACTATGTTTGAGGAAGCCACGTGTCTAATTTTGCTACGATGAAATGTTTTTTTATCTTATTCACATGTCGCAATGTCATCGGAGATGTGGAATGTCACTTGTCTTCCACGTCCTCAATAACAACGACATGGACGATTTTAATGTGTACATGGTTAATGGCTACATATTATTAATATATCAAACAAAAGGGAATCAAGAACAATGACAAAAGGCGATAATTTCACAGATTTGATCCATTAAAAGGACAAAACAAAAGTTGATCATGTTAAAGGACAATACTTTCCCATCCCACTGACAGGATGGAGGAAACGAGGCGGGTCATATAATAAACTGACGATTTTATTATTATTTTTTATATAAAGTTTTTATAATAGTGAATGGGATTTGCGAAATTATCACCTGTATTTGTATATATAAAATAAAAAGCAGAAAATGGTAAAACATTCAAAATACTAGAAAATGTCTTTGGTTAATGCAAATATTAAGAATTGAAATTATTAATTAAATGAAGATAATATGGTAAATTCACACTTTTTTATATTAAAAAATTAAAGTTAAAAGAAAAATCAGATAATAAATTTTATTTTTATAGAACACAACTATCCATTATCTTTATTAATTCTAAAATAAATTTAAAATTTAAAATAAATAAATAAAACCTTTCGCAGGTGCGGAAGCGCCTGCGAAAAGAAAAATACATGTAGAAAAATCACAAAGGCAGTGCAATGTATCATCATCATCATCAGCAGCAGCAGCAGAATTATCATTTTGGTACGTTGTGAAGAAGGTCCAAAAAGGCAGTGCTGCGTAAACGGACGATCCCAAGCACAAACAAATACCCTTTTTTCTTCTTTTTTTCTCTCCCGACTCTCATCATCTGTGAAATATACAGATAATATATATCTGTGATGAAGAGGTTCTTTTTCATTCACTCCTGCACATTGGAGAATTTCATGGCAATGATCCATTGACCATAACCCATCTATGTTCTCAGATTATGGAAAAAAAAAAAACCATCTATGGTAAACTTTGAAGATCACTCGCCGGCTCTGCCTTTTCCTCTCTTGTCTATTTACCTGCCTTTGATCCCGTAACGAAGACCCCAGGAATTTGAGTTGACTTCCATGGCTGCTGAAGCAAACTCAACTCCTTCTTCTTCTTCTTGTAGAGACCGTAGATGGAAATATGATGTTTACCTCAGTTGCAGTGGCGACGACATGCCGAGGAGTTTCACAGACCCCTTAGATGTTGCTTTGACTGGGCAAGGAATTCGCACATTTAGATTTAGGAATGGTGAAGCATCTAATCCCCCAGTAATCTTCTTAAAGGCAATTGAAAATTCAAGATTTTCAATCCTTGTTCTTTCAAGAAAATACGCCCATTCCATACGGTGCTTGAATGAGCTTGAGAAGATCGTTAAATGCAGGAAAGAGATGGGACAGGCAGTTCTGGCGGTTTACTTCGACGTGGATCCAGCTGAGGTGCAAAAACAGGGCGGGAATTTGGAGCACGTTTCCGTAGACCATATAAAGAAAGTGTCAAATTGGAGTGCTGCTCTTCTTGTAGTACCCAGTCTCCCTGGATGGCATGTACGAGATCGGTGAGTAATTCTATTCTTTGCGAAAAGTACAGATTTTCTGCTATCTTTAGTATGGTCACTTGTTGCTGTAGGACAGACATTCACAATTTTGTTTGTAGCACTGGACTTGAAAAGGCAAATACTTTTAACTGTTTTCAGTATCTGCACTAGCAGTTCAACGAAGAAAACTACAAAAAAAATACTTCTTTGTTGTGATTCTTACAAAACTACAAAAAAAATACTTCTTTGTTGTGATTCTTTCAGAGTCGTGAGATTAGTGTTTAATTTCTTGTGTGTAGGTACAAAGCACAAAATATTGAACTAATCGTTAAAGTTTTATGGGCACTACCTATTTCTCTACATGAGTGGAATAGTAAATTGCTTGAGAAAAAGAAAAGTGATGCAGTCAAGATGATTATTCAAAGCCTAAATGACAATGAGAAGAGAATTTTTCTAGATATTGTTTGTTTCTTTAAAGGAATGGAGAAAAAGCGAATAAAGGAAATCCTAGATTGTTATGGTTGTTGCCCGTGCAGTGCAATAGAAGTCCACATTGAGAATTCCCTCGTAACTATTCTAGACAATAAAGTGATGATGGATAGGTTCATAGAAGAAACTGGGCAAGAAATTGTTAGTGCCGAGTCTCTTGGGGAGCGTGGTAAGCAAAGCAGATTGTGGCTTACTCACGACATCCTTGATGTGTTTGGGAACAATAAGGTAACTGGTTGTGCAGAAAGATTAAGCATATGTAGTAGCATTTCATTTTCTATACTCTGATTAACTTATCGGAATACTCTTGGTTAGTAGGGCACAGATGCAGTTGAAGGCATTGACATACACTTTCCTGAACTCAAAGAGGCACAATGGAACGAAGAGGCCTTCTCTAATATGCCTTGTCTTAGATTTCTCCGCATTACGATTATGGGGAGAGAGAGAGAGAGAGAGAGAGAGAGAGAGAAAAATCAGATTTTTATCAAAACCCTTTTCGCCGAAATTACGATTATGCTACTGATGATGTTTTGCTCGTAACTTCTTTGTCATAGCTCCGATTTAAGCCCATTGTGTCTACGGACTCATCTCGCCGTGCTCTACGCAACGGTATAATCGAAATTCTCAAATTCCTTCCCGGTCAAAAAGTCAACTTTAAACCTAATAAAATATTTTAAGAGCGAAATGGTCTTGTATCTGAATAAAATAATATTTACCAATTTGTTTAGGACCGGGTCGTTACAAAACACTACATTTTTTTATAGCACTTTTAGCCCAATGGCGGCACTTTTACCCCTGGGTTATCAGAATGATGAAATTGAAGGGGAGGGGAGAGGAGATTCCATCAAATTTGGAAGAACCGGTGGATATTGTGTCATGGATGATTGGAAAACATAGGGAGAATGAAAGAGTTTTAATGGATCAATATAACAGCTCTGATACCATGTAAAAAGGGTATTTCATATATGTTTCTTTACAATACAGAATGGTACATTTATAAGGAAAAAAAATCTGCTATGTAAGGTAAGCAAATTAATTCACAAATTACAGATATACATGCCCTAAAGTAAAGTTATTGACTATCTAAACAAGGGTAACAAAATAAACTTTATTGTTTATGAATCTGTCAGTATTTTCAATACTAAACCCAGAAGTACACTTGACCCAAAAAAAAAGAGTGCTGTTATTTCCACCTACCTGTCCTATTTTCCCACCCACCTTATTTTCAAAATTTTAAAGACAAATTTACGCCTTTATAAAATGACTTCTAAGGACTTAAGGAAAAACTCTCAACACACCTATAACCTCCGCAACCTACAACGTTTTATCAACGTTCTCATGTGCTTTCGGGGAAAAATGTGTACTATCCAATATTCAAACAAACCCAACAAGAAAACATGAACAAATGCTCAAAATTGTGAAAGAAATTCAAAATCCCAACTTTTCCTGAGAGATCCGTTGTTTGGTCACTAAGAAATTAAAAGAAAAAAAATCAAGAAGCTCTAAGACCCATATTTGGTTCTATTAAGAAAAGTAAAGGCCAAGTCAAACTCAAAGCGAACCAAAACTATTGGTTCCATATTCTTGTTGAATAAGATTTTATGGCGACCCAAACAGAAAGTTAGGAGAAGACCCACATGGGTAGGACGCATGGAGGTTTCAAGTGCGGAGAGGCAGTGGTCAAAGGAGCTGAGAATGGAGACGACGTTGTTAGTGATGGTTTGGCTCTTTCACAGTCCATCTTCTTCTTCCTCCTCCTTCCCTCTTCTTCTGCATTGTTGTTTGAGAATTGGAGAGAGAGAGGGTTTGAATTTAATTGCATTATTAATTAATTAAAGGGTATTTTAGGAATAATGGTGGGTGGAAAGATAAAATTATGTTTTTTCAAATTTACATGGTGGGTGTGAATATAAGGTAGGTGGGAAAATAGGACATGTGAGTGGAAATAGCAGTACTAAAAAAAAACCCAGAAGTACATTTCCACTTTTCCATTTTGTTGATGGAAACAAGTGAACTGAAAATGAAATAACATGTTTTTTATCGGTGTCTGTGTAGCTATGTTTGTTTAAAATGAAATCATCAGTCCTTATCTCTTGGACTATAGGGGTCTAAGAAATTTGTGGTCAATCACTGTTGGATGTAAATTCAACAGTTCACTCACTCTTACACTCCTTTTAAAAAACTTTTTTGAACAATTTGATTAATATCAAACGGTGAGTGACCATAATATCTTGAACTCTTGTGATCCAAGATATCAGGACTGATGAAATCATATGTGGGAAGGAACATCAGGTAATTATTGTTCAGGTCGTTCAATTTCATATGACCAGAAGATATAATAAAATCTGGGTAATTATAATGTCAATTCAATCAAGTGTAGTATCTCCTAATATAGCAAACAACGTGCATTATTTAACATCAGCTAAGCCAATTCTATTGCTTTTCTTAATCTATAATAAATTACAAAAACAAAGTTTTTTTTTTTTTTTTTCTCACTATCGTATTGTATATTAACACAATATAATTATGGGTCAAATTCTTAGCACGGTGGCATTTCTTGTGGTGCGGGCAGCAACTTTTCCTTGTTGTGTTTTCCATTCTTTACAATGAAAACGGTGTTCATTCCCCATGTTACGTGACGCTCCAAATGGCAGTGCAAGAACCATACTCCTGTACAATATTGGAAAAATATATATATCACAGTACGTACCAATTAATAAAAACGAAATAACAACGATAACTTGTATACACCAACTGTTGGATTAATTAACTAGCTCTAATCCTTCTAATCTTTTGATCTAAATATATGCTGTACTTATTTAATATTAAAATTATGGAGCAAGGGGCTGGATCAATCTTATATAATTTATGTAACAAATAATAATATTAATATTAATAGTCAATTACTATTCGAAAGGGGGATGTAACTCAGCTGATTAAGAGCATTTACCCGGATTGTTGGCTTTGAATCTGATGGCGGTCCAGCCACTTATAGGCACAGTCACAGTGTTCCTATGAGGAGGGTCAAGGAGATTGTAGTTTAATGGGTCCTTGTCTTGGTCAAAATTCCCAAACCCTCTTCCAACAATGTAAAAGCTAAACCCATGCAAATGCATTGGATGATCAATCCCAGCAACCAAGTTCGTGCCTTGAAAAACACATTCCACAATTGACCCATAATCAAAAACCTTCACCATTGTCCCTCTCTTTGGTGTTTGTAAAATCAATGGCAGATCCTCACCTGTAAAATTATACACCAGTGGTGGAAAATCTGGGAAACCTTCTCTAAACACCCCACTAATATGATAATAATATGCTTCTAGGATGTCAGTTGTTGTGGGGTCCATAAAACTTATGTTGTTCATGCTAGCAGCTAGGCGGGTCCCATTCGGTCCTTCACAAGAATTATTTGGGCAGGGAAATGTGTTGACTGAAACTGTTGAGATTAATCTAGTGGTGATGTTTTTTGGGACGTCAATTGGGTGGTCTTCATTGGCTAGGCTTCTAAGGCTATCAAAGAAATTGAAGGCTGCATTTGTGTCATTATAGTAAGGAAGATAAGGTAATATTGGAGGGCTTGAAAATGGAGTGGCATTTCTATTGTTGTATTGTACTATTGCTGTGGTTGTGGTGTTGTCAAAAGCAACAGCAGGACTGCTTGAGTAAGCCCTAGCGGCCATGTAATATTGGCCAACTTGTTGGTTTGTGAGCAGCAAGGCATCTAGCGTTTGTCCCGGTGATATTGTGATGTAATCTCTTGTCACTGGCTTTGTGTAGGTCCCATCTGCTCCCACCACTGTGAGGCTATGGTTTGCGATTGAGAAGAAGAGAATGCTGTTCATTGCGGCGTTTATTATCCGGAGCAGATAGGCCTTGTTTTCATCCACGAAGAATTTGAATGTTTCTGCAAAAAGATAATTTTGAATTAATGAAGTAGTGGATGGATAAAACTATTTTGAAAAGTGAAAGGCTTGATTAAATTGTAGACCTGATTTTGAGCATGGATAGAGGTCACCAGGCTGACCATTGATGGTGTGAGCATCAGAAACATTAGGTTCTCCTCCGGTTCGAACGAATTCTTCAAATACCTCCATTATGTCCCTTTTCCACCACTGACCTGCGTTTTCAACAAGAGCTTAAGCTGTTGGTGAAGAGGCTCAGTTATTGTAGTCCGAAAAAGAAAGAAAAAGAAAAGAAGATGCTCAATTATTGCTTGGAATTAGGAAATGTCGAGTATAAAACTTAAGAACCAGAATTACCTAATATAATTGGCACTTCCTCATGAGGCTGGGGAAATGGATAGCTAGCTCCACGTTTTGGATAGACGATAATTGCTCCGTAAACTGTTGCTCGAGACCAGTCACTATGTGCATGCCACCAGATGGTTCCTTCTTCTTCAGAAAATATAATCTTTTGCTTGAATTTATGCCCAGGCTGAATTGGACATTGTGTGATGTATTCAGGACCATCTGACCATGGATACCTCGGTTGCTTTACTCCATGCCTATGTCAAAAAATAACAAAATTTAACTACTACTCAAAGCAAATTAATCAACCCATCAAACCATTTAGAGAAAAAAAAATTATTCAAGTTAAATTAAATTCATATATACCAGTGGACAGTGATGTTGTATCTGCCGTTGTTTTGGACATTGACATAGATTGTATCACCTTTATGAGCTTGTAAAACTGGTCCAGGAAATTTTCCATTTACTGTCAATATTTCCTTGGTGCTGCACAACCTTGTATATGTAGCTTCTTTCACCTATAATAACAAAGCATATGCACACGCAAAATAGACATGTACTTAAGTGTGAGAATTTCAAGAAATTGACAATGAAAATGACAAGGAGGGATAAGCAATATGATCTTGTATGCAACCATTGATGGAAAATTAGGGTCATAAAAACATTACGTATGCACGTAACAAATTAACAAAAACATTACGTATGCACGTATCAAATTAACGAAAACATGAACATTGATAGAATCCAATTACCACAAAATGATAATTATGGGATGACGCTTGGCAATGGAGAAACAGAAGTAGAAGAGATAAAATCTGCAGGGCAGTGTTCCTCTTTCCAGACAACATCTTTTTCGGACGTATGAACACGAGTATCAATTCCTTCTGCTCTTGCTACTCCACTTAGTTAATTTTGAAAGCTTTGTAGCTCGTTGAATTTATAGAAAAAGATAGTGACAGAATGAAGTTAAAGGCACCGATCGTTTGATGGATGTGATAGGAATGATTCCTTAACTCAGTGGGTCACTTGACTAACAAGTAAAAGATTATGGAAAATAACACGCAATTGAATTAAATGTTTACTGTTTTTAGTATCACTAACATGACTTTTTGAGTTTCACAAATTTGGTTCGAATTGTTGAACCAATTGGGAAGGGATTGGTTTGGTTGAGATGATGGTAGGAGGTAGAACTATATCGGACGAACTAGAAATCTTAATCGGGCAAAACTTTGGGACCATCTTGCGCAAAAACTTTGGGAAATTGTTTTGATGTTTAGACCATCAACCTTGGCCTCTTTCATTTTCAATGATAGTAATGCAGACTCAGCTATGTTTGACATTTATGCTATCAACTAGCATTTTTACTACGCTAGACACCAAAAATAGGAATAATCCACTTTAAGCAGTTAAACCTATGCTTTTGGATAAGTATGATGTATTTGCTTGACTACGACTACAAAATTGTTAGCTATAGCTACTGTTTCCACTTAGATATTGTTGATAAATCTAAAAGGGACATTGAAATTGAGCACCGAAATGTACTAATCAGGTCTTGAGATACGTGCAAGGGATCAAGATTGTATAGGCTCATGTACATACATTCTGACATTCTGACATTCGGACATTCGGACATTATTCTGAACTGGTTGGATATATCAGTTTCGGACTTTGTTGATGTGTAGACACAAGGAAGTTTACTTCAGGATACATCTTTCTTCTTTCTGGAGGGTGATGTATCCTAGAAAAGTACGTGACATGCTATGAAGCTACAACATTATGGTTTAGAAATTTTATCACATGAGAAGATTGTTGATTCTTTAGCAATATTTTTACTAAAGGTTGTTGATTCTTTAAGGATTACTAAATTGTCGCAATTTTCTTAATTTGTTAAAGTTTACAAATTCGTGTATCTAGCATTTCTTCTTACACAATTCGTTCGCTTATGTTACACAATTTTATTGTAGTTCGGTCATTCAGAATCATTAAACAATTTGTTTCGTAACTAATTTTGGACAAAGTCTTAATTAACAGGGTGGCATTCTTGGTGGCGGAGGCAGCAACCTTTCCTTCTTGTTTTTTCCGTTCTTTACAATGAAAACTGTGTTCATTCCCCAAGTTAGGTGACGCTCCAAATGGCAGTGCAAAAACCATACTCCTGTTTTATCAGGTAAATGAGAAAAATGATTACAAGTAAATAAATAAATAAAAATCATTTAAAAATAAAATAAATAACAACTTGAACTAACTAGCAGTTAGAAGACATCGTTCATGTTTAGCCTCTTTCGTTTAGTTGTTTCTATTTCTTTCCAGCTTAAGCGAAAAAGATTCCAAGTTCGGAAAAAAAAAAAAAAAACCAACAATATATTTGGTAATCGATATAGTTTTGCGATTTTTGTTTTTGGGAATCAATTTCCTGACTAATCTAATGTTCTTAGGAAAAATAAAAACAACACACATATATTACATAGCCATTAATAATTAATGTTAGGGCATATGCTATATACTTACCCGGATTGTCGGCATGGAATCTGATGGCGGCCCAGCCACTTATGGGCACAGCGACAGTGTTCCTAAGAGGAGGATCAATGAGATTATAGTTTAATGGGTCCTTATCTTTGTCAAAATTCCCAAACCCCCATCCAACAATGTAGAAGCTAAACCCATGCAAATGTATTGGATGATCTATTGGTGCACCCAGTTTGTCCCTTGAAAAACAATTTCCACAATTGACCCATATTTGAAAACCCTCACCTTTGTCCCTCTTTGGAACTTGTAAAAGGAGGGGTAGATTTTCCCCTGTAAAATTAAATACCAGAGGTGGAAAATCTGGGAAACCATTTTTATAAATCCCATGGATATGGTAATAATAGGCGTCTAGAATGTCTATGGTTGTAGGGCTTACGAAGCTTATATTGTTCATGCTAGCAGCTAGGCGGGTCCCGTTTGGTCCTGCACATGAATTTTTTGGGCATGGGAATGTGTCGATTGAAACTGCGGAGACTAATCTATTGGTAATCTTTATTGGGACACCAATTGGGTGGTGTTCATTAGCTAGGCTTTTAAGGCTATCAAAGAAAGTGACAGCTGCATTTGTGTCATTATAATAAGGAAGGTAGAGCAATGGAGGTGTTGAAGAAAATGGAGTAAAATTATTCCCAATATTTTTATATTCTACTATTGTTGTGGTTGTGGTGTTGTCAAAGGGAATAAGAAGAGTGCTTGAGTAAGCCCTAGCAGCCATGTAATATTGACCAACTTGCTGGTTGGTGATTAACAAGGCATCTAGGGTTTGTCCGGGTGAAATTGTCATGTAATCTGTTGTCACCGGCTTTGTGTAGCTTCCGTCTACTCCCACCACTGTGAGGTTATGGTTTGCAATTGAGTAGAAGAAAATGGTGTTCATTGTGGCGTTTACTATACAGAGTAGATAGGTCTTGTTTTGATCCACAAGGAGCTTGAATGTCTCTGCAAAAGGAAGTGGATTGGATGAAGAAATTTGAAAAAGTACAAGACTGTTGGAAAAACAACAATCAGTGAGTAATTAAAACAATTATATAAACAGAATTTATAATAAACTGTAATACAGAATACAGTATATAAACAATAAATGAAACTGACTTGGATTCGAGATAGAGACTTGCAGATTTGATGCAATGTCCTAAAGACTTAACTGCAAATGAGGATAATTTTAAGGAGAGATTTATAATAAAAGTGTGTATACCAGATTTTGAGCAAGGATAGAGGTCTCCCGGCTGACCATTGATAGTGTGAGCATCAGAAACATTCGGAGCTCCTCCAGTTCTAATGAATTCCTCCAATACCTCCCTTACATCTCTCCTCCACCACTGACCTGCGTTTTCAACAAGCTTATTTGAACTTAGCTACTCAAAAAATTCTTGACTAGTGCTCAACATTCTTCCTCATGTGTGAATCGATCATTTGTGGAATGATCTTAAAAGTGACCTTAAAATATTGAGGCCTCTGATCACCGTGTTAAAGTTAATCTGGTACCATATTAAAGATTAAATCGATCACTTGGACAAACGAATGGATCCCTTCACAGAGAATCCAAGATTAATTACACATGTTGAGTATAAAACATGATTATATTAGTATAAATTCATGCATGTTACCTAATATTATTTGCACTTGTTCATGAGGCTTGGGAAAAGGATAGCTAGCTCCACGTGTTGGATACACAAAGATTGCGCCATGAACTAGTACTGTGGCTCGAGCCCAGTCATTGTTTGCTTGCCACCAGATCGTTCCTTCCTCATTAGAAAATATAATCGTTTGCTTGAATTGGTCCCCAGGTTGAATTGGACATTGCGTGATGTATTCAGGACCATCTGACCATGGATTCCTGGGTTGCTTCACTCCATGCCTGGCAACAAAATTACAAAAACTAATCCCTCCAAATTAATGGACTCAACCCATTCATAGTATCAAATCAAGTCAAATTGGATTATATTATCAAAATTACATATTACCAGTGAATGGTGATGTTGTGGCTGCCTTTGTTATGGACATTGACGTAGATCGTATCACCTTTAGGAGCCTGTAAAACTGGTCCAGGAAATTTTCCATTTACTGTCGAGATTTTCTTGGTGATGCAAAGCCTTGTGTATGTAGCTTCTTTCACCTTCTTTAAAAAAAATATATATATATATATAAAAAGAAAAAAAGAAAAACAACAAAAGGAAAAAAGGGCTCTTGAAGAAAGCATGCACATACTACCCAATTATAATGGGTTGATCCTTGGCAGTGAATTAGGAAGACAAGTAGCAATGACAAAATCTGCAGGGCAGAGTTTGTCTTTCCGACCTCGATCATGTTTTTCTTCTGCTCTTGCTTAGTTACATCCGAAAACATACTCTAGCTTGTTGAATTTATAGAAGTTAAATGAGAAATGAGTTTGTAAATGACAGATGAAGTTATCAATAAACGAAAAGATGTATAAGGACAATGACACGCATTTGAATGAAATGTTTTACCGTTATCTAATTTATTGAAGTTAATCTTAATTAATGAGGGCCCTTAAGTTCAATTTACAGCGCTCAATGACGGCCGTAGAAACCTGTTTTCCTTGTAGTGTCCTCTTCCAATCTGATAATTTTTTGGACTCAGATGAATGGCCATGCAGCTTCAAATTTCTTAATTAGTTATATTCCTAGGGCTCCTTTTTCGTCTAGAATTGGATTGGATATGATCACTCCGTATATTAAAGCATGTTAACAGAAGAAATGAAATTTTTTTTGCCAAGTTGAAGGTAGAAGACGGATTACTCATGAATAAAACTTATCTCATCTAATCCCCCAAAATGCAAAGTCATTCACCTCTACCTTCATTTCCTCCTTCAACATCCCTTATAGATTTAATGAGTTTTCCAATCCAATTCAATCCTAGATACCAAACGAGCCCTTAGACAAATAGCTAGGTGGAGAGTGTGACCTTTTCCTTAATGAGTGGCAAAACTAGTATAAAATGTTAAAATATTTCTTAGGTTTGATCACATATATTTCTCTTCCCAATGTCGGATCCAAATTCAAATCTCCCATTCCCATTGATAAAAAAAAATAAAAATAGAAACACAAATTACTTGCTTTGGATCCACATCTTAATTGCAAATTAATTACAATTAGGAAGGATGCTTAAAATTTCTGACTGCATGTTAATGCTGCCTTTGATTGTTCTTTGATTGTCCACACCTATGTACATTATATTCTAAGATGAATTAGGTTGGTTAGTAGGAGCTATAGGATCATTTTGTCTATTTGGAATTATTCGACCAAATAGAAATCTTAATTTGGGGAAACAAATACGTGTTGAAGTCAAAGTGAGAACCGCTGCAAATTATGGAAATTGACATTAATGTTTTAGCGATCAACAACTTTTTGGCCCTTGTAGTTTTCAACTTGTATCGATCACCTAAAATTTTCAAAACTAGGCTTACCTATTTGAGTACGTAAAACCCTATAAATGAGCAAAATCCCACTTTATGCTTACCTATGAGTAAATTATATACTACAGAACACTTCCATTTAGATATTGTAAGTAAACCTGAAAGGGAAGTTGAGGAGCTGAGCAAGTTTCCGAAGACTATTGGCAGTACCCCTACTTTCGTCATCGCCTGATCTTTCCTGATCTTATCTCATGCTCATGGCTGGTAAGAAATATAATTCACGAACTTTTATCTCCTCCCCCATCACTTTCTCTTTGGTTTAGTATATATGCATACAATAGCGTACGTTCAAAGCGCTAACCAATTAGTAAACATTTTCGGTTGGTACATACGTATCAAATAGCGCTCAAAGCATACTAGTAAGTAAATATACAAGTATATAAGGTATTAACTTTATAGTTGCAGTGACACTGAAACAAAATGATATCCATTTTGCTTCCTATTAAACTAGATCTCTCAACAATTAGCTTAAGGTGAAGGACGCTTTGTGTGACCTATGATATGAATCCTCTATTTTTTTTAACTCTCAACTAATGAATTTTCCTTCTAAAATCGGAAACGAATTAATAGTTTGATTAGATGGTGACTATTTCAGCTAATGAGGGGTGATTAAATGGATTGCCTTCAAGCCTTTAATGTTTTAATCAATGAAAATGAATAATTAAGGAACCGATAATTCAAGTTGTTTTTGACAGCTTGTTGAATAAGACAAACATATATAAGATCCTTCATTTAAAGCACTAATGTTGAACGCATACTTTGACAATGGAGTTTGAAGAGCTGGCAAAACATTCCCAGATGAGAAAGACTTGTAGTTAATGATTTTGTAATCGTTAAGTCTTCCCATTTATATCTATCTCCATCGATCTGGTAAAATTGATCCACAATTCACCGTAATGGATAAAGCATCCTTTTTCATCAATTTCTTGCTGTTTTTGAGAACTCATCTGATTATTTCATTGACGGAAGTATTGAGACCACTTTGCACCAAACCATGCGAGATTTTCCTTTTTTTTTTTTTTTTTTTTTTTAAAAAATTATTTATTTTTATCAAAGAATACTTTCATTAGATGAAGTTCAAAAATACAAATTAAGCACAAAACGGACATGTTGAGAGAAACAAAACCAAAGCGAACAAAAGCCGCATCAACAACTACCATAGCCTACATCACCACATTAAGCATAATTCTCAGACAAAGCCCACAAAACCCAAAATAACCTAAATCCTAAAGTAACCTAGGAGTTGAAATGAACACTACTACCACCACCTGAAGAAGCGCTAGCACGATCACACCCACCATCATAATCTTTAAGTGATAATACATGTGGGATCTTGGGAAAATATGGCTTCCATCGATTTAACTGTGCATAAGAGAGAATAAATATGTCAAAAAACAACCATGGCAACGAACTTCAAATACCATGTAGAACTAAACTTAGAGAAGATTGTAATTGGTACTTAGGTGACAAGGGGTAAATTTAAAAGATATTCAACCAAGAACGCAGCAAACTTCACACACTCTAGACCTTGACCAAATACTCTTATGACTAGTCAACTATCAGATATGAATTATACCAAACAATAGCATACACAGAGCATACCAAGATGTACCTGCAAGCCTAGAGAATTACTAGTGACAACCTAGACACTCAGAAGGACCCATCAATCTAGGCATCCCCTAACTGTTTACCCAGAAACCCACCATTGGGAAAAACTGGGGGTCATCAACCGACCAGGCAATCCACTAAGTAGAAAAAGATTCTTACAAAGGAACACAAGCAAGCTCAAGAAAAACCTAGATCTATTTAGGAAGATGAGCTATACCTCCTTTGTGCAATCTTCTTCTCCAACTTAGCAAAGCTTGAAGCTTAGTTCTTCATGGCAATGACAACTCCTTCTCCAACTCATTCATCCCATGGCACCAACTTGCAAGCTCTAACTCAGACAGAAATGAAATTTGGATTCATGGAGAAAATGACCAATTTCTTCAAGAAACCATACTCTTGAAGAAATCAATCTTGAATCTGACCTAGATATATATGATAGAGTGTTTGATCTAGCAAGATGAAGTTTTCATATTTCAAATGCAGTTTTCGAAAAGAAACAATTTGGAAAACTCAAAAATGAAAAATATGAAGGTTACTCTTGAGGAAGAAGAAGCGAAAGTTTGCTATGAAACTTTCCAAAACTTGTCCCCCAAAGTGACGGCTGCAAAATGAGGAATGTCGCTGTTTTTACACCAAAATTCCTAGGTTAGAATCGTACAAGGCAGCAGAGAATTTCGTAGACTATGACAAAAACAGTGGGTAGGATCTAGCTGGAAATAGTGACCTGGAAAACCTTATTAACGCAGAAGTTGACTAGTCATACGGAGAAAGGATGACTAGTCATAATCTTCAGGAATAGGTTAATGCAATGTAATGCAA